AAGCTTAGCAAAGCACAGGGACCGCAGTTCAATCCCCCAGCACCACATGCCAGCCAGCCCGCCCCCTGGTGGGCTGAGCTGGCCACACACACACATAAATAAATAAATAAATAAATAAAAATAAAATTAAAAAAAATAAATAAAAATAAAAATTAAAGCTTTAAGGGCCGGCCACATAGCTCAGCTCTGCTTAGGCACACCCAGAGCCAGGGGATCGATTCCCTCTCCCCCGCCTCACACCACCCTGCCCGCAAGTCATGCTGAGAGGGCGATTGAGACTCTGCATGGTGGCGTGTGCCTGTAATCCCAGCACTTGGGAGGCTAAAAACAGGAGGATCACTACAAGACTGATCTGTGTAGTGAGACCCTGTACTAAATACATTAAAAAAAAAAAAAAAAGTCAAACTTTCCAGCCAGGCATGGTGGCACATGCCTGCAAAGCCATCCCTTAGGAGGCTAAAACAGGAAGGTCACTGGGAGTTTGAGCCTACCTGGGCTACACAGTGAGACTCTGGTGTAAAAAACAATACAAAGTCCTCTTCAAAACGGCCACTCCCCCAACACCAGCAGCATGAAGCAGAAGTTAGATGACCAGTTGGATAAGTAGTTCTGAGCTACAGCAACAGGGGTAAGTAATGGATTGTAAATACTTCTAATTGATTATCTTTTCTGGTTTTTTCATATCAAAGCCTAAAAATAACAGGTGACACACTTGCTTCTATTTATAAGAAATATACAAATACAAAAGCTTGACTGTAAGCCGAAGCATTCAGACTCAGCGCACTCGGTAAGTCATTTCACACCACGTGTCTTCCACCTGTAAAACACAGAGCCAGAATTTAGCAGCTCTCTAGACCTTGCCTAGCGCTAATACTGTAAGGCTCTGTCATTGGTTTCTTCACTAAATATTAGGTTGCGTTTTGCATTTTCAAATATATTCTTTTAAGAAATTCCTTTTTTTTTAGTTCTATTTGAGATGGTTTTGTCTTTTTTTTTTTTTTTTTTTTTTTTTTTGAGACAAGTCTCGATATATAGCTGGCTTTACACTCACCATATAACCCAGGCTGGCCTCAAACTTATGCAATCCTCCTGCCTCAGCCTCCTGAGTGCTGGATTACAGGCATGAATCACTACACTCAGTTCACACATGGTTTTATTTTCTATATTGGTGGCCTTTTCTAGAGTAAACTGTGACAGGCTCTGGCCCCAGTACGAACTGCTGAATTATTATGGTGGTCATCTAACACGGCTGAAGCCCTTAACACAATAGCTTATCCTCCAGAGACCACCTCTGCGTTCTTCTCCAGCTCAGCCCAGGGTGCCGCTTCCTTCCACCCTTCCTGCCACCTCAGGGAAGGCCCCCATCAGCCCCTCAGGTGTATCTCAACGTCCCCCTCAAGCCCCGCCCCTGGCAAAAGGCCACTGAAGGCTCGGCCTCCCTTTGTTCCAATCCAGAGAATTCCTTATCCTCCCCAAATTGTCTCTGTGTCCTCTAACATAATAAAGCCCCTTTTCCCTTCTGTTTCTCTGCTGCGACACCATTGAAAACGTAACAAATCGAGCCTGTTTACATTTAATAAGTTATTTATAAAAGTTTACAGTTAATGCATAAGTGAATCCTTTTCAGATCCTTCACAATTATTTTACTAATTTAGTATGTATAGATGACAGATAAATATAATATGATTAAGTTAATATTACACAATATGAATTAACTGGACTGATTCTTGTTTTTTTTTATCTCCAAGGAAGACACTATTATGTTTGCTTTGGCAGCACACAGACTAAAATGAAGACTGTTTTGTTCGGTCAATATTCTCTCGATTCTTTAGTAAATGAAGAAATAGTCAAGAGCAGGACAGAGTCCTACTTTAAGCTCAGAGTAAAGATGCTGAGGTTTGAGTGTGGATCACAGGGGCAGCAGCTAACAAGGTGAATCTCATGAGCACAGCAAATGTCTGCCACCTTCACCCGGGCGCCCACGCCATGATCGCTGGCAGTAACGCAATGCCCTTCACACCTGGCAACACTATGCACGTGAGCCTGCAACGATGAGCAAAATTACAGACCGATCCAAGGTCACTTAATCAGGAATCACAACAAGAGAAACCGCTTGGGAACGAAGCCAAGGCACAAGGCTGCAGCTGGCCACATACCGTTCCTGTCCCCCAATTTTCATTTAGGAATTTGCTAAATCAAATCCTGAATTAATTACAAAACCATAGGCAATCCCTATCACTGTCTGTATCAATTAATATATTCCTGAATAATTAAGTTTTTACACATAGTAATCATTCCCATGTGTTCACGATACTTTTTTTTTAAGTGTCGCTAAGCTGTCTCAAGTGGTCCTCCTGCCTCAACCTCACAAGCAGCCGGAACCACAGACACACAGCCCTGTGCCCAGCTGGAAGCTCTATTTCTTTCTTTTCTTTGAAATTGTTTTCTTTTTCATCAACCTCATTTCCATGTTGCGGAGGCGTCCGCAGAACTGCTCAGCCACTTGGTAGGGGTTCCTACCCACTCAGTGGCCTGCACTGTGGGGGCTGCAGACCTGTCTTGTGTCTGGAAATGCTGGACGGGCACAGAGGGCGCCCGCAGGCCTGGGGACCGGTCCGAGACCTGGGCTGAGCAGCAGTGGACGTGGGAGCCGGGCAGTCCATCGGCCCCCCTGAAATGCCTCTTCAGGCCTCTTCAGGCCTTCCCAGCAGCAGCCTGGGCTTCCTTTTCAATCTCTTCAGGACCCCAGAAGTAGAGATGAGGCGTGACCTCCCACAGGTGTTCCCGGGAGATGGCGCCACACCTGCGCAGCACCTCCAGGGCCGCATCTATGTAAGTCCTGCAGAGCCAGCGCCCTTGTTGCACAGACTGGCACTGTCCACACAGCACAGAGAATCTGTGCTACATTAGAGCGGTGGTCGGCAGATTGACATGACGCCTCCGTGAGGGGCTGGTGGGCAGCCCTGGGCCCAGAAAACACCAGAAGACATGGCTCCCTGAAAGCTACCTGAATCCAGTTAGTGATGGTCCCAGGAGCGAAGCGGCTAGTTATAACCCAGTGGTAGCCCCAGTGGCAGCAGCAAACTCTATAGCGCAGCTGGCTGGCAGGTGCTCCTAGAGGGGATGATGCCGACGTCAGCAGGATTTTATATATTTTAATCTTTTTATTTATTTACTTGGTATAGGGCTTCACCACATAGTACAGACTCATAGAGATCCTCCTGTCTCAGCCTCCCCAGTGCTGGGATTACAGGTGTGCACCACCATACCAGGTTTCAGGCGAGCAGTTCTTGTGGGGTTCTGGGGTTGGCACAGGGTTCGAAGTCAGATCCTTGAGCTTGCCAGGCAGGGTTTTGTGGGTTTTTTTTTTTTTTTTTTTTTGGAACTGGGGACTGAACTCAGGCCCTTGCGCTTGCCAGGGAAGCGCTTATTCCACCGAGCCATCTCCCCGGCCCCAGGCAGGATTTTCAATGGCAACTGTGGCTCAAGCTGCCAGAGAAGCTTCTCCCAAGTCCACTTCAGACTTGTGACAGAGATCCCGTCACTTTTCCTTTTATAGGTAGGTATGCTGCTCCATCTGGAACTCCAGGTTGGAGCCACCTAAGTGGCTTCCTGCAGCAAGGAACTCCGGACACCCTCTTCCTCCACTTGTGGGACATCCAGGGCTCTGGACATTGTGAAGTTTCCCTTTAAGTTACTTACCATGGGAATCAACAACGCGGTGTGGACCCTGCCTCGGCAGTACAGAAGGGCTGGGGGCTCTATTTCTGAATGCAAAATTTTATTCAGCAATTGCTTAAGGATCAACTTAGATAATCGGGTTTCTTCTATTTTTTTTAAAAGAAAAAAAGGGGCTGGTGAGATGGCTCAGTGGTCTAAAGCACCTACTTGGAACAAGCTTAGCAAAGCACAGGGACCGCGGTTCGATCCCCCAGCACCACATGCCAGCCAGCCCTGCCCCCTGGTGGGCTGAGCTGGCCACACACACACACAATAAATAAATAAATGTTTAAAAAAAATTATTAAAAAAAAATAAAAGAAAAAAAGTAGGGGCCGGGGAGATGGCTCAGTGGAATAAGCGCTTCCCTGGTAAGTACAAGGGCCTGAGTTCAATCCCCAGTTCTGCAAAAAAAAAAAAAAGAGAAAAAAAGTACACAAAGGCAGTAACAAAGCAACATAAAACAATAAAAATGGTACAGAATTTCATAACTTGAATCAAAAATTAACAATGGTTGTTATATTAGGCATTGTGATCATCAAGTGTGTTCCTCAGATTACCAGGTAGAGGCACTTACGACTGATCAAACAAACACTAACTCTTCCCTTCAATAAGCCTTAATTTTTCCCCTTGTCCTTTTTACTTTTTATTTTTCAGCTTATTTTAAAGAGTGTATAGACACAATAGCTAAGACACACATTTTCAAGCGGCTGTTACGCTGCGCGCTGCGGTCTTTAGTGTGGTCGCTCGGACTGCAGATACCAGCACATCAAATCGGTCAAGGGGACACTTTGAGCCTTAACTTCTACCTTCAAGAAACTGATAGAAATTAGTAGTACAATCACCTTAGCTATCTACTTACATGATTTTCCCCTTCCTTTTTCTTATTTTTTCTCCTTTCCCTCATTTCAATTGTTTATTCCTTAAGTTCATTTCCTTCCATTCTACTATGTCTATTATATTTTTCAGATTTTATTTATTCTTTCCAGTTTTTATAATTGGTTTCTGACATATTAAAAATCCAAGGCAAAAACTAAGATGGCTTTTGATTTTGCTTTAATATCAAATAAACAGTAATTTAAAAATTTATTCCAAGCAGAGGTTGATCCAGCTGAAAAGTGCTTCCAAAACTCAGCCACACCAATGCAAATCCCATCTAACTTTATAGACAAAATGAAAAACGAAACCCGTGGCTGTGTGGGAGATTTCCTCCTGGGCATCTGGCAAAGGAGTGCTGCTTCCTCCTCCGGGACCACCTACTTTAACAGGTGTCTCAGCTGGTCCTGCAAATCTGATGATTGCTCGACGCTAGAAATCAGAAGAGACGGGGCTGGTGAGATGGCTCAGTGGTCTAAAGCACCTACTTAGGAAAAGCTAAGCCAAGCAAAGCACAGGGACTGCGGTTCAATCCTCCAGCACCACATGCCAGCCAGCCCCGCCCCCTGGTGGGCTGAGCTGCCCCCCCCACACAAATAAATAAAAAAATTAAAAAAAAAAAAAGAAATCAGAAGAGAGGCAATGGAGGGGGAGGAAGGGGAAAGGTCAAGACGCAACGCAGTGCGCACGCGCACCAGCTCCCCAGGACAACAGCCATTATGGGGCCGGAGAGATGGCTCAGTAGCATAAGCGCTTGCCTAGCAAGCACAAGGGCCTGAGTTCAATCCCTGGTTCCGTCAAAAACAAACAACAGCCATTATGTACAGCAATGACATAACCACAAAAAAAAATGTAAAAAGAAAAGAAAAGGGGATGAGTTCAATCCCCAGATCTACAAAAAAAGGTGGGGGGAATAAAAGTATTGCTTATCGAAGGCAAACAAGAAAGATTTCTTTATACAATCTGTCTTTTAACAGTTTTTTTTTTTTTTTTTTTTTTGCTGTACCTAAGGTTTTTTTTTTTTTTTTTTTTTTTTTTTTTTTTTTTTTTTTTGCAGAACAGGGGATTGAACTCAGGCCCTTGGGCTTGCCAGGCAAGCACTTATTCTACTGAGCTATCTCTCCAGCCCCCTACAATCTGTCTTTTAAAACATAAATATTATCATAGCTAAATTAAAATTTATATTAGTCCACTTGGGTCCCCAAAGTGTTCAAGCGATGAGCCAGGGCACTGGGGCACCCTGAAGCCACAGCTACGCTGGAACCTGAGGCAGAAAAACATGAACATGAACACAGGAGTTCAAAGTCACTCTGGACAACACTACAATACCCAGTCTCAGATTTTAAAAAAAAGCTTAAATACGAAAAAAGGTTTGCAAAGCCAGTTAGTAATGTGAACAGCAGAGCAAGGGACAAATTTAATCCACATGGGAAAGCAAGGCTATGTAATAGTTTTAGCATTTTTGCTCTACTTAATGAATTACCAACATAAAACATCTCCTGTTTCTTAAGGTTAACTTCCATACCCTGTAACTTCTGGTGGGCTCAAATTCACGGTGATCCTCTTGCTTCAGCCTTCAGAGAGCTGGGATTACAGGCATGTACCATACCTGTTCTACCCTGTAACTCCTAGAAAACCTTTATTAGACCTGGGTACAGTGTCACACACCTGTAATTCCAGGAGGCTGGGGCAGGAGAACGACTGTGAGTTCAAGGTCAACCTTAACTACAGAGTGAGACCCTTTCTAAAAGAAAAATCTTTATTGGCAGTGAATCTGGGAGTCACTGCATGCCTGTAGCTACACTGTGTTCTTTAAGCCCTGAATGAATATTCTGGAGCGTGTCAGTTTCAGGGCCTACATCCTGTGCTCTAGAGTACAGCAGCATAATTTCCACAAGCCTGCTTCAGCCGGCTTCCCACTCCCCTATTTTGGGGGTTACTTACTTCTTCTGAATAGCTTCTTGCCTAAATCAGAAAAAGAAAGAGGAAAAGAAACATAAGAAAACTAGTATAGTAGAAGTCATCTGTGGCCAAAAGGCACTGGCAGAACAGCTTCCTCGCCTCTGTCACATTCTACATTTCTACGGTCCCACCCTAAGACTGTACTGCCGAGCAGGGATTCCATTCCAAGAGCAAAACTGCTAAAAACAAAACAAAAACCGGAAAAATGAGAAATAGCTTCTAAACTTAGAAAGGGACCAATACTCCCCAGAAGGAGGGAGGAGCCCGAGGAACTATAGCCAGGGCTCCAGTTCAGTCCGAATAGAGTCAAAGGATCGCAGACCTACCACGCACACATCCAGAAGACAAATAAAAGCATTAGCTGTTTAAATATCGGGACTTAAATTCCCGACTGTATCTTTCCAACCAAACATGAGCATAATATCAACTATGTAAAAAGTGTAACAAAATTAGCTAAGCTGAGAAGCACATTAAAGCCTTACTCAAAGCCACCACGGAGGGAGGTCCCAGAGAACTTTCACAGTTCCTTGGATGACCTATATAGGTGGTGCTCTGTTAAGTGTGGCAAGGGGGGGCCGGGAAGATGGCTCAGTAGAATAAGCGCTTGCTTGGCAAGCAAAAGGGCCTGAGTTCAATCCCCAGTTCGAAAAAAAAAAAAAAAAAAAAAGTGTGGCAAGGGGCCTAAAGTCACGGAGATGACATCGCACTCCTGGGGTAGAGGTAGACAGCCCACAAGAGGCCGTGTCCAGCACAGGGCTGGTGCTAGCACAGCCTTGGCTGGCCCCTGACCCCAAAGGGGCTTCCCTCCAAGGGGACCCAGCCACAGGGAGTTCAGAAAAGGTGGCCCCTGCTGCAGTTCCCGCCCTGCCCCGACTCCTGCAGTGGTCCAGGCATCTTTCCACAGAAGAAATTTGTCCCTGCCACTGGAAGAAAGCATGCTGCAGCCTAACTTCCAGTGTGCAGCTGCTGGGGAGGGCATACTCACTGGTACTGAAGGTGTGTTGTGATTATTGCCATTTTCCGTAAACTCTGTACACACAAAAAGAAAGAGAAAACAGTTTAGTTCCGATAGCTACCCACACAATGTACGTGAACCGCAAACTACAGAAAAACTTGTTCCTTACATCTTCTGAGTGCAAGATGGCATCTTCCTGCAGTACCATATTCCGAGCCGCCTGACCAAGCAGCTGGAAGACCAAAGTAAAAGGATGAAAATCAAGACATCCCCCCTCCGCAGCCATTCCCTCGGCTCGCCTGCACCCTGCCCAACCGCAGACCCCCAACACAGTGGAAGGTGAGTCTCCACTTGTTGGCGTCGAAACTCCCCTGGCTGGCACTCTGGTGGTCCTGGTCCACCACATCAAGTACCTCCCGTCGGGGCTGGAGCGAAAGAACTGAACTTCCGACCTTCTGAGCCCCAAGCAGTTGAGGGAACTCGGGGAGGATGGAAAGGACAAGGATTGCAGCTGGTCCGCGGAGCTGTGGCTGGAGTGTGGTGTGGAGAGCAGAGGGCACAGCCGCACCTGTGAGCCCCAGTCGGCAGCCAGGAGGAGGAAACAGACAGTGGGATGAGCGAAAGGGGCAAGGGAAGCCGCCAGGGCCCACTATCGTTATTAGTTTTTGGTTTAACTCTCTTTTTTTCTTCTGTTGTTTCAAAAATATGTTTTATGTTAAAGAAAACAAAAATAAACAATAAAAACAATGGTATAAAATTTCAAAACAAGACTGTAGGAGTAAAAAAAATTGTAGGAGAGTAACAGTCGTTAATACACCGAGTATTGTAATCTTCAAAGTAGTTGCTCATGTTACAAGTGTGCATATATATATATTTTTTAAAAATTTGGGCTGGAGAGATGGCTCAATGGTCTAAAGCACCTACTTGGAACAAGCTTGGCAAAGCACAGGGACCGCGGTTCAATCCCCCAGCACCACATGCCAGCCAGCCCCGCCCCCTGGT